CCAATGTCAGGAATTAAAAAAGGGACCTCGCTTTAAATCCTATAGACATGAAAAATGTAAGTGTATCTTATGCACATATTTATGTTAATAAATATGAAAATTTAGATGAAAAGGGCAAAATCTGGAAAAATACCGTGTACCCAGACTGATGCAAAAATAAATAGAAAATCTGTAAAATCTTATAACTAGTAAAGAAATGTCTATAATTTAAAATTCTTCCTGATGGTCCAGATGGCTTCACCAGCATGTTCTATAAAAGAAATTACACCAATCCTGTTTCATATTCCAGGTGGGAATATTTTAGGTCCTTTAGCTGTTCCTGACTTCCTGAGGTTAGAAGGAGAAGGATTTTCCATTTTGACTTTCATTGTGTACTATTTATAATGGGCAGTTCCCCTTCTTCCCCAAAGGAGGAGAAGGTTTTGATATTTGAAAGCCAAAAAGATTGAGAGATGACTGCTACATCTGGGGACCTGAAAGAGCCTGCAAATGTAGTTGTGCACCATCTTTGAGGGATGTCGGGGACTAGAATTGGTCAAATGTACCAGTGTCCTAAAGGGAGAAGAATAGTAGAATCCATAATCTATACATCATTAAACTTGAAACAAACGATCAGCCAAGTTCTAGAACTGTTTCACGTATCGTTTGTGAATACTTAGTAAAGAAAATAAGGCTTACTAGGAACTAGCATGGGCTTACTAAAAACAAATTTGACCACTTAGATATTTTTTAGTCGTATTCTTTCTACTCTCTCTCAACCTATCACTGCTAATTAGGTCTTCTCTATGTCTCATGTGGACTCCTGCAAAGGCCTCCTATGTGATCTGGTAAAATCTGTCCTACCTACAGCTGCCATAGAATTCTATCAAAAAAATACAAATTTGACCATGCCATCCTAGCTCAAAATTCTTCATTACCTGTGGGATAAGGGTTCTCCATGGTCTTCCCTACTAGATTGAAAGTTTCATGAGGGCCAGAACTGTGTCTGCTTTAGTACATTATCTCCAGCATATAGCATGGGTCGAGGCACTTGTTAGGATATCAGACTGATAGGACTTGTGTCTCTGGGCTCATCTCCCTCTATTCCTACTATGACTTCACCACACTGAACTGCTGTAGTGTTTTTTTGTTTGTTGTTATTGTGCTTTAGGTGAAAATTTACAGCACAAATTAGTTTCTCATTCAAAAATTTATACACAAATTGTTTTGTGACATTGGTTGCAATCCCCGCAATGTGTCAGAACTCTCCTTTCCCTTTACACCCGAGTTGCCCCGTGTCCATTTATCCAGTTTTCCTGTCCTTTCTTGCCTTCTTGTCTTTGCTTTTGGGCAGGTGTTTGCTTTATAGGCCTGTCTAATCTTTGTGTGGTTTTTTTTTTTGTCTCCTTGCTTTTGCTCATTCAATCTCTTCTGCCTGGAACGCGCTTTTCCACTTGTTTTGGCCAACTCATACTCATTCTTTCAGACTCAGCTCAGTTCTCATCCATTTCGGGAAAACATGCTTTGAGACCTTTTCTCTCTAAATTAGTTGCGTTCATGCGATATCTAGTGCATAATTCTATTCTAAATAATACTGCATTTGTATTACAGTTGTCTATTATAATTATCTTCCTCACTAGACTGTGAGCTCTTTGAGGGCACAAATCATATCTAATTAAACTCTATATTCCTAACATGCAGTACAGTGCCTGGCACATAGTAGAGGCTCAGTAAAGGTCTACTGAGTGAATTTTAAGGCAAAGTCATTAATTCAGGTTTCCCTTTTTGATATGGTTGTTGTGTATATAGTATATTTTGATTTTGGTAAACTGTTTAGTGGAGTGATATCTGAAGGACAGATTCAATGGCCTGCCTTAAATGGAGAAATATAATTGTTGAATAAAGAAAGTAGGTAAAACAGTATGTATGGTATAACCCCATTTTTTTTAACAAAAAGAGACAACCTATTTTATATACATAAAACAGTTTGTTTCAACTGTATGAATTGTCAAAGGATTGTAAATTAAAACAGTAATGCTTCATCATGTTTTGTCTGCCAGATTGGCAATTATTATACCTAGTGTTAGTGAGGATGTGGGAAAATGGTCACACTTACTCATTCCTAGTAGAAATGAAATTTGGGGAGAAATTGGGCAGTGTATATTAAAGTCCTAATGTGTAAACCCTTTGACAAGCCACTTCAATTTTGGGGATTTGTTCTAAGGAAATAAAGTAAAAAGGGGTTATTATATGAAAAAAATACTCTATTAAAAAAAAGAGAAAAATGCAAAATACAATTGAGATACACAAGCAAGTTTTGTTAATGGTCTGTAAGTTGAACAACATGGTCTATTGTGGAAGTTGTAGAGAAGCAAGCTCTCATATATTGCTGATGGGAATGTAAAATGATACAATCCCTATGGAGAGGAATTTGGTCCTGAAATTGCACTTCTAGGAATTTATCCCAAAGACACCCTGGCAAAAATATGAAATATGCACAAGGCTTTGTAGCACAATTTGGAATATTAATAGACTGGAAATAACCCAAATGTCTATCAGTAGGGACATCAATATGGTGTACATTCACACAATCAGTTATGCTTGTGTACAAAGAAATGAGGATGCTATCTGTAATCTTTTATGGGGAGCTCTCCAGGCTATATTGTTAAATGATAAAAGCAAGGTGCAAAAGAGTGTGTATTTTTTTCTAAGAAAGGGGGTGGAATATGAATATATGTATATGTAATTATATTTTCAAAAAGAAACAATGGAAGATTAAATAAAAATAAGAAAAAAGCTAGACTTCTCTGAATGTTTCTTTTTTTAAAAAAAAAGTTTTAGCTTTGGAAACATGAAAATTTTACATGGTTGTAAAATAATTAAATAAAGAAGAAATCCAAAGTAATTTCTCAAAACCAAAATGAAACAAGTGAACTTTGTGACATAACCAGAAATTGGTGGCAAGACCATATACAGAAAAATATTTCAAGTGACTTTTAAAACTTGGTAAATTTTGATGGAACAAAAAGAACTGCAAATAAACCTTAACCTCCCTTCAGTAACCATATTGTTAGTAATAATATTGGTATTATTCTTTAAAAATTATTATATTTATATTGTAGGATAAGGCGTGTATTTATTTATGTGAATATTATTCAGATCCAGGGTTTTCCATAAAAGAGATTTTTATTGACCCTGAAACGTGTTCATGAAAAATGTTCATTAGCATTTTGGTGCATGTCCTTTCAGATACACACACACATACACACATACACACACACACACACACACACACACACACACACATTGGAAACTTGAAAATGGATTGCATAATATGTATATTGTGTGTGTGTATACACACACGTATTTTATATATATATACATATATACTTTTATATATATATATACATGTATATGTATATATATATATAAAATACGTGTGTGTATATATATTTTAAATATATTTCTGAAAGGACATGCACTGAAATGTTAACAATGGTTACTTTTGGTTAGTGGGGTTATAGTTAGGTTTTTTTTTTTTTTTCCCTTATCTGTATTTCCTCATTTTTCTACAGTGAATAATAGATTATTAGCGCATTACATTTTTTTTAATGGAAATAAAGTCTAGAACGATAAATGCAAAATGTTTCATTATCTGTAGTTTTGTTCTGCAGTGAGCAAAATATATAATTTCAAAAGGTCAGTTGGAAATAAATAATACAGATATGTAAAGTTATGCACTTAAATTTAAAAAGTTAATTATTTTCAAAAAGTCTATTTCAGAAATAGAGCATAGGGGAAACTGGGCTTGGAAAAAAATTATTTTTATAAGCCCTGGAGACTTTGTTTAACTTATTTAGGCCAACAGGCTAAGTTTGCAGTTGAATAATCTAGTGCCTGGTTAGGGTATTCATGTTGGGAAATATCGTGTCCTTATTAAGAGGTTATTGTCTCCGTGTACTCTACATGCATTAGAACACAGCTAAAAAAAGTCCATTTAGCTTCTTACTTTAAATGGAACAAACTAAATGGGACAACTAAAGGAGGTCAGCACGATCAGAGGTCACCTGAGGGATGTCTGGAAGAACTGGAGATGGTTGGCCTGGAGAGAAGGAACTTGCAGGAAAGGTGATACACTAAAGAAAATTAAAAAACCAAACCCATGGCCATCAAGTCAATTCCTAAGAGTTTCCAAGTGGATTCAAACTGCTGAGCTTTTGGTTAGCAGCCAAACACCCACTGCACCACCAGGAAAGATGATAGGAGGCTATAAATATCTGAAAGGGTATTGTGAGAAGAGTGATTGAAGAGTAAAATTTATAAGGAAGCAGATTTTATTTAGGTCAGCCTAGGGGAAAACTTTCTATTATCACTGTCTCTCAGTAAAATGGGCCTTTTCACAGAGTGGCAGAGACCTGGGAACTTCTGATGAGGGTCTTAGATTCGAAGTTCTTTCATTGGGAGGAAAATTGGGTGGCATGAACTCTTAAGATCTTTTTATCTATGAGACTATGAATTGACAAAAAGAAAAATCAGTCTTATTGACAGAAAAGGTGAATAGGTTAAGGTTGGATCACATATATTTGCCTGCCATTTTTACTTTTGTTGTTACCAAACTCTGTAACTTTCAATGTCTGAGGTTTATTTTGTTAAGTTGTATTTTGTATTAAGAAGCAGTCTTTGGGCTTCAGTTTCTTGAGTAAACCACAGAACTAAGTACTACCTAATGGTTAAGAGCATGATTGGGTTTGAATCCTGGTTCTATGCCTTAGTTTCCTTACCTACAAAATGGCTATGATAATACCAACCATAGGCTTATTGTGTGCTTGGAAGCATGGACTTCATTACTAATTTTACCTATATACCCCTTGAGAGGCATATAATAGTTGTTCAATAAATCATTGGTGAATGAGTGAATGAATGAATGAATGAAATTATAAAAATCTTTTACCTGACCTTGGACATAATGATCAGAGCTTATTGAATGTAGACGTGGCACTTCATACTTTGATACTGAACTCCAGTCCCATTTCCTCCTACATCCCACTCTGCCCTCTTTGTTCTGTCTAATTTAACCATCTGCTTTCTGAAAAATATGGTCTTGAATTAGGATTAATTTTGTCAGGACTTGTTTTAAAAAATAAATTATTTTTTAATGAGTGGGTTATGGCTGTCTGAGAATAACTAGATGTGATGACTTGAATAACTTTTGTGCTGGGCCTCCCAAAGTATAAAGTTTATGCCTAGAATATTTTTGGAAAGAGAGTTGGTTGAAATTGCTGTGTATATATGATAATTATCATTGTGCCCCCTGTCAAATATTGAATTCTTTCTTTCCATGATTTTCTAGAGACTGAAGATCTAGAAAACACTAAGATCACCACACCAGTGGCTTCTGCCTCTGATCCAGAACCCCATTCCTCACCCCAAAGGTAGGGAAAGCAACTCCTTTGGATTAAAAAGCTTCCAGAGGTTTTATCTTCTCGGATAAAGAATTGGTGAAAGTAGTGGGCAAGAGACTTTAAGGGGAAAGAAGGTGAAGTGAAGAGTATAGGTGGTTTCGTCATTAATAAATCAACCCCAAAGTGTGGTTTAAGGGCAACATAGGGTCTATTTTGGGTTATAAATTTTTGCTCTCAGAGAATAAACTGTAACAAATAGTCTAGTGTAATATCCTCATTCATCTTCTGAAGTCCATGTTCAACTGTTAAAACTTGAACATGTGCCTTAATGCACAGTGGTTAAGCACTCGGCTACCAACTGTAAGGTCAGAGGTTTGAACCCACCAGCCGCTCCGCGGGAGAAAGGTGTGGCAGTCTGCCTCCATAAAGATTACAGCTTTAGAAACCCTATGGGGCAGTTCTACTCTGTCCTCTAGGGTAGCTATGAGTTGGAATCAACTCGACGGCAATGGGTTATATGTGTATGTGTATGTATTCCACATACACATGCCCTATTGGAAGTGGTTTTATATTATGTAATTTTCAGATTAAACCATTATCACCAACCTTCAGGTTGTCATTCTTAATTTGCCTTTCTGTCCATTTTCATCCACCCACCATCGTTGATATCAGAGAATATAGCAGAAAGGAAGATTTGTTCCTAGCTCTAGAATGAGTGGAGACCACTGGAAACATTAATGGGATAATTAATGAAAAGCTGTATTTTGGACAACGCTGAGCTAGTAGATATTATAGTCTTACTGATCAGTACAGTATTGTCTAGTAAAACCTATTGTCTCCATGCCCCACATGAGTCCTCTAAATTGATAACTGAGGGCAGAAGGCATCAAGGCATTTCTTGAGTTCTGTTTTGAAGTTCTTTCTTCTTAAGTTCTGTTAATGTTAGCTTCATGTATTTTTAAACCCTGTTATTATGTTCTGACACCATTAAAATTGATCCATCTTCATGCAGAATTGACCCTTTAATCTTAATAAATGTCCCTACTTTGTAAAGAACAAAATTCTTTCTTCTTATATTTGTATATGAAATAAAACTTCTTTTTCCCAAAATCCAAATGATGGAAGATAATAATGATTAATATAATATAGTTGGTGAAAACAATATAATGTTGTTGTTAGTTATTGTGGAGTCGATTCCTACTCATGGCAACTCCACGTGTGCTGAAAGGATTGCTCCATAGGATTTTCCAGGCTGTGACCTTCGGAAACAGATCACCAGGCCTGTCTTCCTAGGCACCTTGGCTGGGTTTGAACTGCCAACCTTTCAGTTAGTAGTCCAGTTCTTAACCATTTGTGCCACCCAGGAACTCCTCAATAATATAATAGCCACACTTTATCGAATGTTTCTATTTACTAAATATTTTTCTAGGTGATAATATGTATTAAAGGAGCGCTGGTGGTGCAATGGTTGAGCACTCGGCTCTTAACCAAAAGGTTGGCAGTTCGAACCTACCCAGCAGCTCCTCCATGGGAGAAAAGACCTGGCGATCTGCTCCCATAAAAATTACAGCCTGGGAAACCCTGTGGGGCAGTTCTACCCTGTCACATAGGGCATTATGTCATTTAATCCTCCTAACAGCCCTAATGAAATAAGTATACCTGTTTTTTAGGTGAGGAAGTGAAACACAGTGAGTTCAATAGTTTGCCTGAGTTCATGCAGCTTTAGGTTTGGCTGGCTCCAAGCTTAGTCATGTAACTAGCAATAGAAGGGTTTTGAGTTCTCTGCTTAGAGCTGCTAGGTTATTACATATAACAATCTTTTTAGAAGTTACAACCTTATCAAGGCTTTAGTTATTTGAGACAATTCATGTTCTCAACAAATCTCCTGATGAGAACGCCATTCCATCTTCCCCTCACCACGCCTTTTCTGCACATGTTGATTTGAAGGATCTTTGGGGGATGGGCTCTGGTATAGAATCGTTTCTTCCCAAGAGTAAATAACTTTTTTGAGTGAGGAACACAGAACATTCTTAGAAAAAAGGAGGTTTATTTTTGAAGTTTGTTTTTAGAATCTAGTGTATCAAGAAAAAAAATCCAGTGAGTGTGATACTTGAAGCTTAGTGCTTGTGTTTTATATATACTGAAATTGGAGACGCAGCCGTCTGTCTTTTCTGGTGAGACTGGCCAGCCTGCCAGACACTCTCCTCCTTTTGGGATGGCCTCCCTGCTCTCAGCGCAAATCAGAAGGCTTAAAGTGGGTTTTTTTCCTTGATGTGGCTTGTCATGGGCATCAAGTGATTTGCAATTTATCTTTCCCAGAATACCTTTCACTAATTCTTCAGAGCATAAAATGCTAACATGAATATTAAATTCATGTGGCTGTTGCAGGTTCTATTTAAAACATTTTTTTTTTTTGGTAAGCAGAATCGTATTTGTGCAAAGTAGCATGCTGAAGGCAAAGAAGAGACTAAATCTTAGATGCCTTGTACAATAAGGTCAGGCTGATGGTCCAGATTAAATATGTTATTCTCACCTTCCAAATATTATAAATGATAGTTTGATCCAAAATTCCTCTTTTCGTCCCAAACAAAAATTAACTTCCTCATTTAACAAATATTTATTGAGTGTCTACTATTTATTCATTCAACAGATATTTGTTGAAAGCCCACTGTATACATGGCGCTGTTCTAGGCACTGAAGATACCAAAAATGAGCAAAATGGTCTGAGTCTTCCCTGTCATGGAGCTTACATTCTAGTGGGGGAAGCAGACAGAAAACAAGTAAACGTCATGTTTCATAGAATCTGTATGTCATCAACTGTAAGATGTACCCATATTTTATGTACCACTAAGAATGGATAAAAACACCCAAGATGGAAAATCTAGTAGGAGACCCCTACATGGAGCTGGGACACTAAAAGTTTATACCTTCAATGAAAAGATAAATAAGAAAAAATCCCTCCACACAGGAAAGGACAGCAAGGAAACTTGAATGCCTCAACTTGGCACCATGTAAACGGATGAAAAATAACTCTCCTGAAAATATGATCAGCAAGTCAGTAGTCACCAGTTTATTGTCTAAATTTACTCTCTCAATGAGGTCTAAAACAAAAACCCTTAAACAGAGAATTTAACTTAAAATTGTCTCAAGTTGGTAGCACTCTCAAGTACTGGCAGAAGGAAATATAAATCTCTTCTGGTAGAACTTGATGTCAGTCCAGGCCCACAGCAGTTTTAAGACACCATCAATTTTTTAAGACACCCCATATTTCAGTTGTATTAAAATCTAAAAATAAATGCCTATCTTGGACGTAACAAGGTACGGTACTAATATATCAGACAGTAATAAGTGCAGTGAAGAAAAATGAAGCAGGCTAAGGGTACAAAGAGGAATGGAGCAGAGGAGGGGTGAGACATTTTATAGGGGGGCATCTGGGAAGCCCCTCTGAGAAAGTGACGGTTGAGAGAAACCTGAAGGAAGTAAGCCATAAGGTAACTAGGGGAACAGTATTCCAGGCAGAGGGAACAGTGGGCACAGAGACCCTTAAGTAGGAGAGTGTTTGAGGTATTTGAGGAATATCAAAGCTCCAAGTGGCCTTGTAGCTGGAGTGGACTGGGCAAGGGGAGGATTCTAGGAGATGAGGTGGGAGTGCAGAGGGCCTCAGAGTTCCTTGTGACAGTCTTGGTTCTAGATGCTGTACGTTCAGGGGGAGTAAGACCTAATCCCTGCCATCATCAAGCTCACCTTCTAGTAGAGGAGACAGATGATAAATAGTGCAAAGAAACAAAAATGGTCTAGAGTTTCTGTGGTTAAGAGGACAAAATAGGCCCATAGCCTAGACTAATTTACAACTTATACTGGATTACCCAAGCAAACCTGTAAAAACCAACTAGTATCCCACAGCTCTGGCTTTCAGAACGGTAGGTTGGAGTGACTTGGATATCCCAAAAGATGGATCCATTTTATCTGACGAAGAGGTAATTTATAAACTAGGAGTGATTTTTTTAGTTAATGTTAAAAAAGGGGAGAAAGGAAGGAAGGAAGCTGATAAACTCCAAAGTGAAACACTCTACTGTTTCCCTCATGTGGTTTATAGTACCATGGTTCCCAGTCATTTACTCAGCCTCTCTGAGGAAACGATGCCCTGAGGCAGTGGTTCTCAAACCTTTACACTCTTAAAAATTATTGAGGACCCCAAATGATTTTTGTTTATGTTGGTTATATCTATCAATATTTACCATATTAGAAATAAAACTGAGAAATTAAAAAAAATCATTAGCTCATTTGAAAATAACAATAATGAACCATTACATGCTAATGTAAGTAATGCTTTTAAAGAAAAATAGCTATTTTCCAAGGTAAGAATAATTTAGAGCCATTGTAAATCTCTTTAATGCATGGCTTAATAAAAGAGTTGGATTCTCATATCTGCTTCTGCATTCAATCTGTTGTGATATCACGTGCCATGTAGTTTCTGGAAAACTCCACTGTACCCTCGATAAAATGAGAATGAAAAAAGGCAGCCTTGACTTCACAGACCTCTTCTGAAAGGGTCTCAAGGACCCCAGGCATCCCCAGACCACACTTTGGTTAAGTGCGACTCTAAAGAATCCATGCATTTTATTGGCAACAGTTTTCCAAAAGCCCTGAGTTATTGTGCTGCAGCCATGGCATTTATCATATTTTCTAGTCTCTCTGAAACCAGGGGAAGTGAAGTGGAGCATAAATCATTCCCTTGCCTCTTTAAAACCAGCTATTCAGATAGTTTTGTTTTAAGTCACTGGGTAGTTGATCAATGTGCATAAAAAAGGAAAGTCATTGCTTCTGTCATAGACTATGAAGTGGAAATGCTGAAAGACTTTGCTCCTGGGATAACTATGGAGGGGAAATTTCCTTGCTAGTCAGTTTGTTCTTTCCTTGTTCTGGTGATCAATCTCTGGTTTAGGAGAGGTCTCCTCCTTTTGCTTCTATCCGGTAGCTTTGTGTATAGAACAAAACCGGGATTATAACTCTTGTTTTATTGAAATTCTGTGTGGAGCAAATGGTGTGGGCACCAGAGTGAGGAATACAGCTAAACCTGCTGTTCCTCCTGAGATGATTGAGCTGTGCGTTTACCATGTTCTCGAAGCCTGGGGCCTGGCTTGGCCAGTCCTTGGGCCCTCACACATTGTCACCGCTTTTCTGGGGCCAGTTCAGCCCTCTGGAGTGATCGGCTAAAGTGACGGTAGATCTAAATGCCAGAGGAATGGCGTTAGGGGGAGGCTGTCCTTTGAATGTTGCTTTATTTCAGAGTTTCTCCAGGATGATTGCGCCTTTTAAAAGAGCCCTTGAATTTACATGCTGTCTTCCTCTGAGAGGCCACAGATGGTATCTGCAGGGAGTGAGGATGCCACAGAAGATCTGCGGAAAGCAGCTGGAGCCTTGAAGACTCAGGCCTTGGACCAGGAATCACCACCTGCAGACCAGGCCCAGGTCCTAAACAAGGTGGGGAGCACATTCTCTCTCTGTCTCAGGAAAGAAGGAGTTTGTGGTGCCAGAATTTAGATGCATAATGCGTAGATTTGGATTAGAAACACTCACTATGAGGGTGGCTCACAGAATCTCTTTGCTCCCATTAGAGCATCTTATTTTTAATTATGTAGAGAATGATTGTTTATATCTATCATAGGGCCCGTCACTGTACTAGCACCCAGTATGTACCTATTCAAAAAAAGAAGTATAGAATGAATGCTCACGTGTTCTCTAAAATCCTCTTGATTTTAGAGAGCCTTAAGTCATCAGACTGTGTTTTAGTCTCATTTTTTTTGTAGTAGATCTACTCAGTATTTATAGTAAAGATTCCATAGAAGTAGTATTATTATAGCAGTGGCCCCCCTGCCATGGAGGTATGGGTTATTTGCATTATTATTAACAGATGTATTGTAATAATTAATGGAATTATTGTCAGTAGCTACCATATCAAGCATAATAATTACATTTGTGTAATGATTTATGGTTTACAAAGCACTTTCTTCCATAAATTTTATTTACTCCTGAGAACAACTCTGTGATGTAGATACCAATTATGTCCACATTTTACAGATGAGGAAACTGAGGCTAAGAGCTGTTAGTTACTTTACTGAGGTTATGCAGCTAATACATTGCAAACAAAATCCTTTGTTTAGCCTTTGGAAAAGGAAGGACTCATTTAAGTGCCCTAGCCAAAGTCTGATTCATCTCATTTAGCGATGGAGATAAGAACTGGAGGGCTTATTTTGCAGAAACAGAGATTATGAGAATACAGCCTGGCAGGATTACAAACTTTATTTCTTTCTTTCTTACAAATGCACTTCTGGTCTTTTAGTAGGACTGCCGTCTCAGTGATGTGCTCTTCTTTGTAGGCAGTAGGTATAGATTTCTTGTTGAGTTGCCTGCCCACTGCTTAGAGAAGGGACAATAAATTAAGGCATAAGAGCATAAAACCAGGGAACACTAATCTGAGGGATTTGAAGGGCAACCCATCAGGGAGAGATTGCTGGCTCCCACCATGGGTTAGTGAGGGCTTTTAGTACAAAATGGCAGGGTGGGGGCATGTCTTCCATGCAGGTCAGATGTCTGGCAGCAAATACACTGTTTAAATACAAATCCCGGGGCCGGTCTAAAACGAGATTGTGGTTATTTACAGGGCACTGTTAGTGACATAGAAACCCTGGTGGCACTGTGTTAAGAGCTCGACTGATAACCAAAAGGTTGGCAGTTTGAATCCACTAGGTGCTCCTTGGAAACCTTATGGGGCAGTTCTCCTCTGTCCTATAGAGTCGCTATGAGTTGGAATCGACTCGACAGCAATGGGTTTGGTTTTGGTTTTTGGTTAGTGACGTAGAGGGTGAAACCCTGTAGCCCAAGGTATGCTGATGATATAGCCAAGCAGCAAAGTTTGAATGTGGAGCAGACCACAGAATCAGGTGGAAAGGGAGGGAGATGGAAAAGGAGGGAGAGAGAGAGAACCAAAATCTGTCTGCCGTGTTTTGGTGAATTCTTGGTCGATGGTCATCTGGAAGTAACCCTTGAGTGGGAATTGTAGCAGGAGGATGTGTGGCAGCATGGGAGTCCAGCTAATCCCCAGGTGCTAGAGCTGTCATGGGAGGAGCCACAAGGAAGAACTGTGCTGGATGAGGCAGGACCACGGCATGGCCCAGAAATACTGCTTAATGCCAAAGTCCATAGTGAGCTGTGAGGATGTTTATGGGTAAGGATTTATAAAGGGCCTGGCAAGTAGCAAAAGGTAGAGGAGAACAAGGAAGAATCTTTAAACTAAGGAATATTTTTGTGGCATTACAAAAAATTAGTAGAATTTATTAGCAACCTGTACCTGGAGGAAAGAGAAGGAGCATTGAATAGCACATTAGACTTTGAGTTGGGATCGTGGAGGTCCTAAGTCAGAGGTGGGGCAGCCTTCATTTAGAAGGAGGCTAATTGGAATCTGCCACTCTTAACATGTCCTTTAACTAGAATTCTGTTGTACAGATGGCCAAGTACCAAGTTCCACAAAGGTCTGGGGACATCGTTATGATCCAGTCTGAGCATACAGGAGGTATAGATGTTCTTTCAGCTGATTTGGAATCTGCAGATCTTCTAGGGGACCACAGGAAAGGTGAGACCTTTGGGAGTGCTGAAGGTATTTTTTTTTTCTAGTTTCTACTTAAAGAAAGGCAAACAGATGGGAGGAAAGAAGGAAAATAACTTGTGAAAGCAAGTCAAAGAAGCAAGTGGAAAGAATGTCTTTGACTGTGACAACCTCTCTAAGTAAAATGCCAAGTGGGGTGGCATTTCCTCATGATTTCTCAGTAGTAAAATGCCTATCCTTTCAGTCTCCCCACCTCTTATGGCTCCTCCGTGCATCTGGACCTTTGCCAAAATGAAGGAATTCAAAAGCAAGCTGGGCAAAGAGAAGAACAGCCGTCTGGTGGTGAAGCGGGGTGAAGTAGTGACCATCCGGGTACCTACCCATCCAGAGGGAAAGCGTGTCTGCTGGGAGTTTGCGACTGATGACTATGACATTGGCTTTGGAGTTTATTTTGACTGGACCCCTGTAACCAGCACTGACATAACTGTGCAGATCAGTGATTCCAGTGAGGAGGAGGATGAAGAGGAGGAGGAGGAAGAGGAGATTGAAGGTAAATTTAATTTTAACCTAATTTACAGTTTCCTTTGCAGTTCAGCCTAATTTCTTATGACCACTTCCTATGTAGTACCAATCCTCCTCTTCCTCAGAATGCAGGTGAGGGATTTCTTTCAGCATTGAAAGCTAAGTTGGGTGTGCAGGCCCAAGTCAGGCCCTCGAATAATATTCTGATAGGGATGATGTGGATGCCTTGGTTGGAAGCTTCTTTTCATTTGAATCAATATGTAGAGTTTCCCCCACCATCCCGCTGGAGGCAGGAATAGGAGTAGGGACAGAGATCGGGGTTGGTCAGTGCTGTTTTCTGTAGAGGCAGTGATTATCTGAGATTATCTTAGATTTCTCTTTTGGTTTGGGGATATTTATTCTTGGCCCAGAACCAAACTGCATGGTTATGGTTTGCTAAATGTATCCATTCCCTCCCCTTTCCAGAATGTCACAGCTGCCTGACTCCTGCTGACTTCTTCACTTGATGCCGAGGGCAGTTTTAAAAGTGTTCTCTTCTCCAGTCCAGTAGTTAGCCTTACTCCTTCTGATTCTCCTGCAGTCTTAAAATCAATCCCTTAACTTGCTTCTTTGTGGAAAAGCAAGTCTGCAGGGAAACCTACAAATATTTAGGAAAGAGGAGAATTTCATGTCTTATATGCAGTAGGCCAAGTAGAAGTTCTGGCTCAGCATTTTTGTCTGCATTTCCTGCCTTCATTAGCTAGCTCTTTCACCTGTTCAGTGAAAAAGATGTCAAGACCTTTCTTTCTCACTATCTTTTCCCCCCGGTGCCCCTGAAATGTCCATGTTTCTGGAGCTAGGGAGGTTCCTATAAGGCTAAATCATTGTTTCTCAGTGGAGACATTATTGGCATTTGGGAGGACACTTCTTTGTTGTGCAGGTACTATCCTGATGTTTTTAACACTTATGGACTGTTGGCCACTAAATACCAATAGCATCCACTAGTCACTATAATGAATAAAAAGGCCACCAGATATTTCCAGATGCTCCTAGGAGGGCAGTAGCATCCCCTGAGTGAAAGCCACTGGGTTGCCTGGTCCATTCTCTCATCTTCAGATAGGACTTACTCTGTCTCTGAACTCATATCCAAACACTCTGCTGTTTTGTTCATGCAGACCCAGTCCCAGTTGGAGATGTGGAGAGAGGCTCCAGGAGCTCTCTACGAGGTCGCTATGGGGAGGTCATGCCTGTGTACCGGCGGGACAGCCACCGAGACGTGCAGGCTGGCAGCCACGACTACCCCGGTGAGGGCATCTACCTGCTCAAGTTTGACAACTCTTACTCCCTGCTGCGCAACAAGACTCTCTACTTCCACATCTACTACACTAGCTGAAGGACTCCTGGCACAGGGGCAGGCAGGTGTTTGCTGTCTGGAACAGGCTGCCAGCTGTTGCCTCTTGTTTTGGATAGGCAAGAGCTAAAAGTAGAGCGTGAGGCTCCTGACTCTCATGCCCTGCCTGGCGTGCCTGATTGTTGACCCCACGTAGCGTTTCCCTTTCTTGGCTTCTGCAGTTGGTGGTGTCATGCCTCTGTTCTGTGGTCCCTGACACTTGCTCTTCTTGCTTCATACTCCAGCAAAATCCCTCTGTGAAGGCACCCATCAGGCAAAAGCCTAAAAGGAAGTAGGGTGTTGTCTTTTAAAAATGGGTTTATCTTCCTACAAGGTGTATTATTCAGATTACTGCTCTCCCCTCTTCCAGAGCCTTTATTACAGATGCATTTAATGGCACCCACTCTCTTCACTGTTTGAGGTGCTAGAAGAGGGAAAAGCACATGGTCCACGAAGGAACCCAGTCTCTTGCACAGAGAAAGCTCTGTCCAGCCTCTCACCACTGCCATATTCCTGCCTGCTAGTTGTTCTTGATCCTGCACCGGCTGGGGAGCCCTCACTGCCTTTGGAGGGAAATGGCTTATTCCTGATGGTTAGCCTTCTCCTCTCTTCCCTTTCCTAAGTCTGTGTTTTTGCCATTACAGCAAGAACTTTCATGCAATCGAAAGTGATAATCATTGTAATCCAAAATCTTCTGGGAAGAAGAACAGCCTCCATCACTTCCTATTTCAAGTGGTGATTTCCTTTCCCAAGGGCACTGGTGGTAGAAGGGGAACGGTGGACAATAGGTACTGAATTGATCTCGGAACCCACATCTTTGACAGTTGAGTGTTACTAAATTATTTTTGTGTATAATCAAAGAAGGAGGGGTATAATCTGAGAGAAGGTGAACACATGAAAACCAAACCAAAACCAAAACAAACCCTCCAGATTCTCCACCACTCCACACCACTTTAAAGTAGGAGTGTTATTTAGAAATTTTTCTCTGGAACCAAAAGCAGTGAATCCCAGTTAGGTTTTCAGAGTTTCTGGGTTTTGGTTTTTTGCACTGAAAACTTAAAGCTTTTGGTTTTCAAGGTCTCTTAGGGAAGGTGATCATGAAGCTTCACTGTTGCTGTTGATTGTATTTGTTCTTTACCCTCCCAAAGCCTGCATTTCCCTGAGGCCTAGCAGTGCGGCAGGGTGCAGATGGTGCTGCAGGCAGTGGTTGCCAGAGCAGCAGGGTGCCGGGGTCTCGGGCAGAGAAGGAGACCAAGGAGGGATGTCAGCCGTCTTTGGCTGTCCTCGTTACCTCCCTGTTTCTTATTCTTTGTGTCAGGTCTGTTGCTGCCTTACAATTGTGAGGAATAATTAGGTTTATTTATTACTTTATTTATTTTTTTTAGCACATTTCATTTTGCTTTTGAAACAGTTTCCATCTGTTTCTTAGAAGACTTCCCATCTGTTCTGAGCCACTTAGGCCCCCTCTTCTATGGAGTTAAAGATGATGATTTTAGGAGAAGTTGGGAAGTGATGAAGTTGTATTCCTGCAGGTCAGTCCTGTGATGCTTTGGGAGGAGTCTGCCCCTTCAGAGATGGATGACACCAACCTGCCCGGTGTTTTGGGTACAGCCTAGCACTCCCTGTGAGGAATTCCAGGTTGTGAGGGAATCTGCCCATTCACAGGGGATTGAATGCAGAGACGTTGACTAGTCAGTCAGAGGTCTGTGATTCTGGGATTCAAAGTCCTTTGCCTATTCTGAGGAGTCACCTTCTTCACCATCTTTCCTTTGGCTCATTACTTCCTTGTGTGGGTGCCTCAGACCAAACCTCTCCTCTCTACTGGAGCAGTAACTTGAAGAATAAGGCTCCTCACAGTAGGTCTGTAGTAGCATCTACATCATGAACAAAGGGCAATACATTCTGCACCTTCTGTTCCCCTTGGAGCCAAGCCCCAAGTAGGATAGGATTGCCATAACATCCCCGTTCTCTGAGCGGCATCATACCTCCATTATTTTATATTTGTGAGTGATTTTTTTAGACGATTACACTGGACAAGATTTATATACCTTGTAAGAAATTACTTGTGACTTTCTATTTGGACAGTAAAGAGCAAACTTGCAGTCATCCCATCAGATAGCTGAGTGACCACTCTTTAATCACTGAAGTTGAATCATGCCTTAGCTAACTGAATATAATCTTTATAATGTAATTTTCTACTGAGCTGTTTTCTAGTCAGCTAAAGCCTTGCTTATTTTTACTGTTTGTTATTAACTTCTTTCTTTCCAAGAGGAGCTGTCAGGCATAGCAAGCTCCCTGGGAAAATACGATTTGTTTTTGCCATGAGAGTCTCTGTACTTATTTTCTTTGGAATCCTAGTTCTGTTGCATCAGGGATCCCTAAGGGACTTGTTCCATCTCCCTCTGTGTGCCTGTTATTGTTTGGTCACTTTTTGACGTCCTGGGGCATGTTACATTTCATTTTATACTGGGGTGTCGCTAACAGTCAGGGCTTCTTTGTTTCATTAGCACAGAATACCTAAGAGAAGATCATTTCACTGTCTAATTTATTCACTATTCTCATATTAAACTTCTGAAATAATTGAACTGTAGGGCCAAAAGATTATTTACTGAAGCACAGGTATTACTGAGAATTTCATAGCCCAAGGAAATCCTAAGAAGTGATAATTCCCTTAGTCTCTCCCTGTCCATTTATAGAACCAAAACAATGAAATAAAAATCATTTGCGTTCACTTTCACTCTGCTCTCTAGAGCACAAATAAATGTTAGCCAACAATCAAGAGTAGGAGAGGGACTGGAATTTGTACACAGACTGGCTGAGTTCTTAAACTTCTTCAGTGTGTTTAGTTTTGCTGCTTTGTCGAGAGATACATTCAGGGTTTTTAGGAAGAAAGAAATGTTTAAAGTGTTAATATTTTCCAATATTTTATTATGAAAATTTCAAACAGAAAAGTTGAAAGACTTGTGCAACAAATACCCATATACCCACCACATAGATTCTAGAATTATAAACTGCTAATTTTTCAACAAAGGCAAATCTAACATTCTATTCCTTTCGATAAGTGTCCAATTAGAGTATCTTCTCTGCACAGACAGCATCAGCTTTCCTGTGTGAGAGAGTCCCTCATTTCAGCAGACTTGCTTCATTCAGCATGGGATACCTGAGAGGTAGTCCTCCCACAAATGTTCTTTAGTCCCCATCTTTCAGCACTCAAGCTGCACCTCTCCCTTCTCGCAGGCCATGATTTCCTCTCTAACTGGCATATTGGCATGAGGGTAATAGTGAAGCTGCTCTGGAAAGAATTTATTCTAATCTTGTTTCTTTATGACACGTCCTCAGGACTCTGAAATTAAAACTAAATCCTCAGATAACATGTAGCTTTATAATGGAATTAGGTAGCAACTTAAAGTCATATCACTGTCAGTTATTTTTTTCTTGATTGATGCACTTTAAAAATATTTTTATCTGTTATTTAGGAAAGAATCTCACAATTTAAAATGTGTATATATGTATGGAAGATTTAAAGCTGAAAGCTCACTGTCTTATGTCAATCAGTGAGTTTAGATATTATTGTAAAACTTGTAAGTTACGGAAAATTTCTAAGTTTATATCTTTTTGATGAGCCTTACCCAGTCCCTCTTTGGGAGAATTAGGTAAAACCCAAACCCTAAAGTCTGTGTTTTTATATTTACTTTTTAAGACTTCTTTTCTGCAAAAGGTTACTTTTTAACCCTAAAGTCTGTAGTTCTAAGGTATAGAGTTGAGTGACTTGAATATTTACATAAAAGACTATTAGTGGAGGATGAGGGAGGGGCATGAGTTAAACAGTTTTGTGCATCTTGAGAACTGCCTTTTTAAATCGATAACAAGGAGTGAAAACAGAATAAAATGGGGGGAAGAAAGCAAAGATATCAAATATATCCTGGAATTTTTCCCATATCCCAATTTTGCTTAATTCTTTAGTTTGCATTTCATTAGTTGGAATTGTTCTTTAAGCTAGAAGCCTCACTGGTCTTCATTGTGCTTGTTGGAGAAACTCCAAACCCACTTTGCTGTCTTTTCCAACAGGATAGACTCTAGGATTATTTTTGAGTAGGCCTTCTCTACTAAGTGTCATCCTGACCTGAGGACTGATTTTATCTCCATATTCTCTGGAATTTAAGAGTCTAGTGCTGTGAAAAAAGATGGGATTAGAAAGAGGCAGAGAGGAGTTAGTTCCAGTTGTGGTACTATAGCCCCAGTTGGTTTTGACGGTAGCCAAGAGGGAGATGAAAAAGTCAGTTTTGACTTACATCACAGAAGAGCCTCAAGCTACAATGATGTGTTTCCGTGACAACCTGGGCCTTGTAGGCTGACCATCCTGTGGGGTGTAGGAGTCACCGGCTTATTTCATCTCTGTGGGATGGTCATACACACAGCAGTGAATGGAACAGGCCAGGCAGACATACTTGCTCCCTTTAAAGCTTCCATTCTAATACATGGACAGTTTCTCCTAGGTCTAAAAGGTCCACATCAACCTCTTTAACTAGTTTTTTTTCTACCTGACCAAATGTGTAGAACTCCTAAGAAACCTAAATCTGCTGGAAAAGGGAAGAGCGCCATCCCTATAGAATCTCAGTGGATGAAAAGAATTGGAAAGTGGGTTTCTGCCTGAAGGAAGGTAATTTCCATTTTTTATTGTGAGGGGTAGCTTGTAAGGGATTTATGCTCTTCAGAGCAAGTCATTGTATTCCTTGTGTATTTGATTGTGCTCAGGGAGCCATGATGTATGATTCTTTGGGGAAGTAAGTAAGGAACAGGTGTCCAAACCTAATCACAAGCCAGGTATCTGCTTTCCAGCAACCTGGTGTATGGCAAATATCCATATGGCAAAAGTCCAGATCTTCAAGCACATGGGATCCTATCCCTAGGTTCTCACTTTCACACTGCTGAGAGACAAAGAGAGGGACTAAGATCCCTCCATGTCTGTAGATTACCACTCAGTGTCTGATGTCTTATTTATTTTAGCACTGGCAGCACAATATCCAAGGCCTTTGTGCAGATGGTTAACTAGAATTAAATAATACTGTTCGTTGACTAGATAAGGCAGTCAGCTTGATTGGAAGTCAGGCTGGGGAGGGATTATAATTTATAGTCCCATATTGGGATAGCTGGGTAACTCGTTTATGACTGTGCACTTGGAATTGCTTTTTAACCTTACCAAGTGAGTGAAGAAGATGCAACAATGGTATAATGATGAGGATGACAAATTGAGTTGGGTCATAAAGAGAGCAAACTGTCTGTCTGTGGGGACCATACTCTGTTCTTGGCTGTGAGTGTAATTTCAGCCTGAGTTTGCAGGTCCTCAGTGTTCTCAGAGCCTGGCTGCAGGCCCCAACAAAGGGGCCAGTCATTTTGGACAGTGACTCTGGCATTCAGCAAAAGAGAGCCCCCTGGGAGTTGGTTCTTGGTATTCTCTGGGAGTGAGGGGTAGGGCACACAGGCAGAACTGCTCTGACTCTGTACTGGTGATGGTCAGTGTCACTCCTTTGCTCTAACCCATCCAGCACCTGTGGGCATTCCTTTGGCATCCACGCAGTTATTTAGGCAATGAGGTTAGGGCAGGATTTGGGACTCAAAGCATGAGAGAAACTTTGCTAAGCATTGTGTGGCCAGATTTCAGAAATCTCTGCTCTCTGAGGTGTTGCATTGTGCCTGCCTAGGGTGAGAAGGCCACACAAAGCCCTTCCTGTTTGAATCCCTTGTCACTAAACCAAGAAAACAGTTACTTACCCAGAGCCTGTGATAGTGGGGTTGATTTACAAACACGCACTCTCACAAAAACCAAGTCCAAAGGCAAGACACTGGCTTTGAAATTATTTGTAGTTCTGGTCACTGGTTTGAACTCATGACCTGATTTCTATTATATGTGCCTTGATTTCTTTTAGGCCCCAGGCATGTGGACTATAGTTAATTTCATGGCCCTTCTTCACTGTATTCAGAACTATTAACTTATCACCTAACACTCTAAGATATGATAAAAAGGTACCCTAGAAATCTGGTCTTCATTAGATTTCAGTTCTCTCTCACTTTAAGCAGGTAGTTTTGGCTTATCTAGGGATAAGATAATATATGTGAAATGACTTCCAGAGAACAAATTATTTTCTAAAAGTTCTGATATAAGATCATGAACAATTCTCAAGTTTTGATTTAAAATATTATATATTACAGAAGAGGCCTTAATTCACAGTCAGCTTAAGGGGCCCTCTTTCTGAACTCTCTTCATCACTCAGGTTTGAAATACTCGGGGTCTGTAATGTTCCGTGTTAGTGGCTGATTGTTACTGTGGATCCTTAGGTTTAACCAAGAATCATCTGGAAAACATTATCTCACTTCCTTCTCTCATGTCCTCAGCAGTACATTTCACTAAGAAATTCCATATTAAAAATGCCACTTACATCTATTTCTGGGATTATTGTCCCATAAATGAGCTAGTTTTTATTTAATCAAGTTGAACTGTTGCCATTTAGCCATGTTAAAGAGCAAGTAAAGTCTGGAGTTCCCATATTCTCTGAATAACGGGAAGTGTTTTGAAATTCCCCAAAGAAAGCTGCTTTGTAATTAAAGTGAAAACGAGACTCGGGGTAAGGATAATTGGGATAGAGGGAGATGCTTGAGGAGGAGTTCCTTAATTTGTGCTATTTAGCTTATGTTTCTCAACAGCTTGCTTTGGTGCCATGCACTCTAACATATCAATCAGTTCACTGAAATATGATCATATTTTCTTGGTAAATATTTAAGCAGTTGGCAACCACGAAGACATTCTTTCCTTGTTCCCATGATGCACTGACGCTGACGTTACCAAAAAAGGGTCTGGAAGGGAAATGGTGTCAGTCTTTTCTTTTTTCTTTAAAAGATGAAAGCATCCCAATTAATAATTTATTATAGTCATCTTGCTTTACATGTACCCTATCCTGTGCTGTCAACATCTCCTATGATTTCTAAGTTAAGAGCTCTGTACCAAATTATTACTTAATTTGTATGTCCTGCTGAGTGGTTTTTCTTTTAAAATACCATATTTTACCACCCTGTAGCACTGAATGTGTGGCTGTAATACACTGATGATCCTGAGCTATGGTTCTTTAAATAGCTCAGTTCTTGTGTTTTTATATGATGTAACAGTTTTGTGATGCTTTTGTGCATTCTTTGTCTTCTAATTTTTGAAATCTGTCATAAATAAACTTTTTCACTATGCACCTGAAACATTTGGGTTATAGCTTAATGAACCTGATTTACATTTTAAATTCTTTTATCTTTCATCCCTTCTCTGCATCTTAGGAGGAAAGGCATTCTCTAAATCCATATGAATTATTTTTGTAATCTATTTTTAAGGAAAAATTGAGAATGAGATTAATGATAGCTTTTTCACCTGCATTTGAATTCATGACAAGATTAGGAAGTGGGGTTGGCCCAAGGGCAGAAAAACTGGATTTGTAGTGATGATTAATAAATAAATAGAATATTGAATTTGATGTTAGGATTTGGTCCCTAAAGATGCTTGTTTTCCAGTGAATTTCTCTGTTCGAATCTGGAACCAGTACTTTGGACACCAGGGTGATATTAATTCAGCCTGTTTCATTTACAAAAATGACACTATAACATGTCTTTGACATGTTTTGAAACATTCTGCCTCTGCACATCCCTGGTGTGTATCACAGAATGAAGAGGAGTTACATTTCTGGAATGTGGAAGGGTACCATTTAAAATTTTTCTTCATTGATATTTGTGGTTCTAAGATGACCCTGGTAGCTCATTCTCTGCTTTCCTTTGCAACCTACTTTAGAGACTGAAGTAGAAAGGAGGAAGGAATCTAAAATAATTGTGAGTTAAATTAAAGTAACCTGCCCACCAATCTCCACCACAACCAAGAATAAAAAGCCTAGGCAGGTTACACGTAGGTAGGGATCGTTCATGATTTATGTTTGGGAATGCTGAATGTACTATATCACTGCTAACTCCTAACATGTTTAAGATTACTTTTTAATTTTTAAAAGCATTCATATCTGTCATATCATTGACATTGACATAGCTCAGTTAGGATTACATAAGGCAGCTCACAAATTACAGCTCTTGACATTGTCTTGATAGTTTTTTAAAAATTTTTTTTTTATTGTACATTAGATGAAGGTTTACAGAACAAGGTTTACAGCTTCTCATTAAACAGTTAGTACACATATTGTTTTATGACATTGGTTAACAACCCCACGACATGTTAACACGCTCCCTTGTCAACCTTGGGTTTCCTATTGCCAGCTTTCCTGTGCCCTCCTGCCTTCTAGTCCTTGCCCCTGGGCTCGTGTGTCCCTTTAGTCTTGTTTTATGGGCCTGTCTAATCTTTGGATGATGGGTGAACCTCAGGAGTGATCAGTCTTGATAGGTTTTAACCCATGTAGTTCTGGCTTAAACTCAGCAGCAATCTTAGTTCAGAGTATTCTCCCAAAGTGGAATGATGCCTGCTTGTGATCTTGGAATCAAGAGCTACATAAGTTTTGTTTAAAAGTTAGGAGGAACCAATTAAATGTTTAAATCAACTACTTATTTTATGAATATACATATCCACCTGCTTGTCCAGTATTTTTATTACTTTCCTTAATGGGTATGTAAAAATTACTTTGGAGCAAAATTCTTTTATTTTTTGCTTTGTTCTCAAGTATTTCCTGGCAGCACCTCCCTCCTGCTTTTGTCCTTCTAAAGTATTTTCCAGAACTTATTATTTCCATGGAGTTGGAAGACCTTCCACATCTTCTTCATCCACTGCAGCCACTCCCACTCCAGGAAGACCCCCTCTTTTGTAGCCTCCAACATACCAGGATTAGGTGTCCACTGGTTGTTATTCACAGATCTGACAACTAATATGGAAGTGAAGAAGGACTTGACTTTACCACTCACTCAGCCTTTCTAGAGAGAAGCCCCTACTGGAAAACCTCACCTAAGAAGTTGATGGTCTTGTGTTGGGAGAGATACTATACATCTGACCCCTGAAAATAAGAATTTATTTGCAGACTTGAGAGAGTCACAGAGGAGATAGTTTTCAAAGCCCTTTATAGAAGTTTATTTATAGTAAGCCTTGAAGCCATTTGGTCTGACCTCTAGAGAAAAGTCTATGTACTTGTAGAGATACTTGCTCCTTCATATTTCAGGGCCCCCAAAAGGGAATTATATGAGAATGGGAGGATAAGGCTGGTCAGGGAAGGAAAAGGAAGGAAGGACATCTTTTAATATACCACACATTTACGGACCAAGACTAGTCACATTGGTAGGTACTAGGATCACAGAGGTAGGTCAAAGGTGTAGCCCTAGACAAGGTTGAGGGAACCCTGTTTTTGTACAGGGAAGATAGTTTAGAAATGCTACATCCTCTTACTCACTAGACCAAAGCTAAAGTTCTGAGAATAGAAAAGAGGGTTCTTTTTCTATCCCATGTAGCCAGCCCTAGGTTTCTGGAGGAAGGTTCACTGTGGGGAGGGGCTGAAGTCCTCAGAATCTCAGGTCTCCACATCCCTGAAGAGCAGCACAGCTGACCTTGTTGCTGAACTGGATTCCATGGAGGCCTTAAGAGCTGGGTAATAGGATGGCCTCACTCTCTCAATACTGCATGCCCAGAAACCAGAGGGACTGCTCCCTCCTCTCTTGTGAGCTGTGATCATTCGGTGAGACCAGAATCTCTACTCATCCCCCTACACACAGACACGTGCACACGCATGCGCGCGCACACGTGCAGGCAAACGCACAAGCGCACCTTTTCCATCCCCTGTTGGCTCCCTGGTCCTGCCTTCTCTGAAGCCTTCCCAATTCCATCTTCCCAGCTTTCCTGACTTCCTCACAGCCCCAGTCTCTGAATCCCACAGAAGATACCAGAAAAGTTCTCACAGACCCTTGAGAGCAGAGGCTCTCCTCAGTTCTGGGTGAAGGAGGAGGCAAGCAGGGGTCCCACCTTGAGACCAGCTTGTGTTGCTACAGACTGTGTGAAGCACTCCCGCATCTTAGGCTCTTGTTTTACAATACAAAAATCTCACTGAGTAGCTGTTCATGGTGATGGAAAATTTGGCAACAGATATGGTGATGGTTTCAAAACATAACTGATGCAATCAATATCACTGAATTGTTCATGTAAAAAATGTTGAATTGTCAAAGGCTGTGTTAGATATAGTTTTACAACAACAACTAAAAAAATCTCTTTCACAAAAACATGATGAGATAAGGAGACAGACTTGTCCTCTGAAGGCCAGTGTAGCTGGGAACCAGACATGTTTAGTAACTTCCTCTGGGGGACACAGGTAATTGATGGGGGGATGCTCACAAGAACCCAGCATTTTCCAGGGGAGTCACCTCAAAGGAGCCCAGAGCGAGTTTCTTTGACTTAGACATATTTGTTTTTGTGTGGAAGGACACGTCTGCCTGGGATTGGAGAAAATGAGATGAGAAAGGAAGTCCTCTCGGGTCTTGGACTCCAGGCATCTCTGGTGCTTCTGTGCTGAGCCCAGACGAAAAACCATGGCATTTATTCCCTACCTTCCTCGCCCACCCAGGGCTGACTGTTTGCATTACATCTGACACATATCAGAATACTCCTGTTGAACTATGGGGCTTGCTTAGGAAAAATATGTAGAATTAGTTTTCTGCATTAGATGAGGGTTGTTTTTTTATAATGTTTGATGATGCAGGCTGCATTACCTCTTTACCTGGTTTAGATTTCCTAAAAATTTTTTGTCACCAGTTTTAGGATGGCTGATGGAGCCCCAGGTTAAAAAGATTAATACCTTGATATAGTATAGGAGACCTATCTGAGTTGAAATATGTTAACTCTTAGAACTTATCTTGGAACAGACAGACAAAAAGATGGGCAATGATACACAATGTTGAGTGGTAGAGTTAGAGCCCATCAATTAAAGTGTTGTCCTTTTTAGGAGTAAATGGAGGGACAGAAACTCAGTAAGAATGGGCCATGTCTGTCATATTCCCTGTCACTCATCCACACATCCCAGCTCCCAGCTCAGTGGGAGTTACCCAGGAGGGCTCACTGCTTGTTGATGATTGAATGGAGGAAGTGGTAAATCCATTACCAGCTGGAGTAGCCACCAGATTGTTTTCTTCTAGGAAAAATCTCAGTTCATCCCCTTATTATACCTAGTTCACTGTAAAATAATTCAGGGCAGCGGGAGGGATCTGAAGTTTTCTGTGTCTCTGTACTTTGTCCTAGATTTATATTCTATCTAGTTTGCTCACTTCCCAGAAGTCTCTTGGGCTTCTCTGTTGCTTGGAGATAAAACTGGGGGAGGAAGGAGGTGGAGAGACCCTGCTTCCCTGGTAACCTCAGCTGTGTTGGAAATCGGTTCAGGTTGGTTGGGCTCACATAGGAGCCTGCTGGTGAGAGAGAGAGTCAGCTGCCTCTTGACTCCTGGGAAAGTGGCAGCAGCCCCTGATCTGGTCAGCCGAAGGCCCTGAGGCTTACCTTCTGCTTCTCTGATCCCACCATCTCTCCAGAGGCAGGGAGGAACCCTGCTATGGAAGTTGTAGGAGCACGAGCTGAAGTGTGGGGCCACCCTCCTTTCCCCCAAGTTTATTCCATCTTTAAAAACTACAGGAGGTTTTATTATTATTATTATTTTTATAAAAATATATATAACACATTTGCCAATTCATCATTTTTCAGGTGTACAATTTAGTAATATCAATTAAATTAATCACGTTGTGCAACCAGTACCAATATCTGTTGCCAAATTTCCTATCACCATAAACAGAAACTCACTGCTTCCTAAGCAATAACTCCCCCTTTTCCCCTCCTTCCCGCCCCTGGTAATCACTAATAAACTTTAGTCTCGATGCATTTGCCTATTCTTGTTATTTCATGTAAGTGAGATCACACAATATTTGTCCTCTAAACCACAGGAGTTTTCATCACCTTCAGTTTTGAGTAGCAGGGTGTGTTTTAAGCCAATTATCTTTGAGATCTATAAACAGCACATTAGGCACAGAAAAGGAAGCACAAATGGAGGATACACACCACATGAAGATCGCCAAGGAGCCGAGGAACAGATGCTGAAAAGAGGCAAGGACATTCCCCTAGAGCCAGCAGAGAGAGAAATCCTTCCCCTGGAGCTGGTGCCCTGAATTCGGACTTCTAGCCTCCTAACTATGAGAAAATAAATTTCTGTTCATTAAAGCCACCCACTTGTGGTATTTCTGTTATAGCAACATTAAGAAACTCAGACACTTACCTAACAAGATACGTCTGGAATAATTTGAGGAAAAGGGTCAAGATGGCAGCAGGACAGAACAGGAGGTATCACGGAGACTTTCTCATCATTGTTATGTCCACCTACCTTCCTCTGCTTCTCTCTGGCTTTGCCAGGACAAACCCACCAGGAGAGAAAGGGTGACCTGCTTTGGTCATTTTAGAGCCTGGGACCCAGGTCAACTAAGAAAGAAAAAGGCCACAGAGGATGAAAGGGGAGAATAGGTGCCCTAGGATTGCAGCTGGGTCACAGGAACTCATGGCTGAGAAAGGTGGCTTCCACTTGAACGAGATTTATACACCATAATTCCGTTTGACTTCAGCCATGCAGGGGAAATGAAATCTCAGAGATGAGATGTAAAAGGTCATCTTGTTTCACCCAGCAGCTGCCCCCAACCTCTCTGCCAAGAGGTAATGCTGGTTCTGGTTGAACACTGCTAGGGAGGAGAACATGCCTCCTCTAGGTTGGCCATGGGAAACTGCTGCAGGTGGTCTCCTGAGCTAGCTGGTCAGCAGCTGTTCACACTGCTTATGGAGGAGCCTGCCTCTAGATGGCCAGGGCTATTCACAACAAGATCATATATATGCCCAGTACCTAATCCTGGGGCTGGTCCAGAGGATGCTCTCATGAAGATGAGGGACTGGGCTGGGAGGGCCACCTTCCCTCTCAGAGCTGGAGAGGAACACTTAACAATGGGACCTTTCCTAGCCCTGAGGAACTCAGCTGGTCACAAAATGCTTTCTTTCCTGCTTCTTAAATCTGTTCTCCACCTGGATCTTGTGTGATTGTCTCAAGCAAATAAGTCTTGGGCCTATTTCTCTTCCTTGTCCTTAGGGTCCAGGCCTGCCACAGGGCGTGCAAATGGCTGGCTGGCTTCCTCTCCTGATCCACACACAGGGGAATTCGTGCTAGGATGAAGAATGTTCATCTTCTAGAACCCAGCTCAGCCCTAGCTGGACAACTGGGAGTCCCGGGCTTCAGTTCAATGACCAAATTTTAGTGTGGGAATTCTTTGGCATCAGGTCACTATAATAGGGGATGGTTCCGCATGTTTTGAACTTGCCAGGCATTTTAATCTACATTCTCATTTCATCTTCATGACTGCCCCATGACATAGATAGCAGGTATTGCTCCTGGGCCTCACCCCTGGCCTCCCAGCACCCCTCTCTACCCTCTTGACAGAAGAGGGGACTAAGGCAGAAAGAGGTTCAGGGGAAAGATAGATCCAGGGCTAGAGTTCAAGTCTCCTGTCTCCTTAGTTAGGTTTCCAGACCTGTTTAGCCCACCCAGCTTCTGCTCCTAGTCCCTGCTCCCTCCTCCCATTCCCATACCAGTGGGGCATGGTTTGGGATCTAGGCCCTCAGCTCAGGGGGCGTATCTGGCTGCCGGCAGGGGTGAGTCACTTGGAAGGCCTCCAAGGCCAGCAGCATCTTGTTGATACGGCTGATGGTGGGGTAAGAAGTGAGCTCCACCTTGAACCTGTGGCAGAGAAAACACCCACCTAAGCCATGGTCTGCAGGGATACAGGAGGATTGCCCTGTGGGCATCAAGAGAAGCACAGAGGCAGGGGTGGGTGAGGTCCACGGAGCAGGCCAGAGGAGCACTAGGAAGGTGACCCTGGCAGGGGGAGCCTTATTCACAGATAGCCCTCTGGAAATGGTTAGGCCTCGTGCAGTACTGCTTGGCATTTCCGTTACTTACTGTCCTGTTCCAAAAACAAAAGACCAGACCAGTTGCAGTCGAGTCTATGCCAACTCATGGTGACCCCACGTGTGTCAGAGTAAAACTATACTCCATAGGGTTTTCAATAGCTGTTTTTGGAAGCAGATTGCCAGGACTTTCTTCTGAGGCACCTCTGGCAGACTTGGAACTGCCAACTTTTAAGCAGCCGAGCATGGTAACCATTTGTGCCACCTCAGGACTACTCCTATTCTAAGCAATGGCTATTTGTTGAGGACCTAGGGTTGCTATGAGTTGGAATCAACTCGACGGCGAGGGTATTATGTATAAGGCACAGTGCTAGGCATTTACACATATAGATTGTCTCTCTACCCATGTCATAAGCTTCTTTAGGGGCAAGGAATGTGTCATATATTCCCATATCCCCAGTGGTGCCTAGCGCAGTGCCTTCCACATAGAAGTACTCACTCATGCCCTACAGAAGGGCTGATGGAGGGAAAGAAGAGGTGGAGCTCACTGCCAGGCACAGACACACTGACATACCCTGTCTAGGGGCAGAAGGCACGTGTTCTTGGAGTGGTTTCTTATAGAGATGTCCACCAGGTGACCCACCTCTTCTTAGGAACAGAGGCAGTGCAAGATCACCTGGGCTGTGGTGGGTGTGGCCTGGGGAGGAGGAGGCATTTCACTCATTTCTTCCATCCCGGCTTCCTCCAGGCCAAAGTGGGCTCCTTGGCCAGTCCGGGAGAGTCTCTGCAGGAAATGCTCCCTCTGCTCCCTCCTTGGCTGAGGTGAGGCCTGACTGTGGCAGGAGGCTGGGTGTTTTGAGGGGAGGAGCCAGCAGGAGGAGGGAGGGAGGCCTCCTCTCTGTGCCATGTGGTATTCCAAGAGCAAGCAGAGGTTAGCTCATGGGGAGCTCCTCAGCACGTTCCTACTAAGCTGCCTGAAGAGAAAGCAAGTTCCTCATTCCCGGAGGTATTCAAGCTACCTCTCACTTACCTTTCAGCATTTGCCACCTGAGGCACCAGACACAGATCAGCCATGGAAACCTGAAAGAGGGTCGGACAAGTCTGCGTCAGGGTGTGCACACCCAGACCCACCTGCTGGTGAAGGGGTGTCCGCTGGTGACTTGAGGGGGTAGCTCCTGACATCCCCACCTGACCCTGGCTCTTCCACCCTACCCCTGCCCCTAGGCCCATCTCCCAGGGCCTGCCTGGGTCTGCCCTCCAGAGCTGAAGCTTCTTCCCAGGCCATGCTACAGCTGCCCTGACAACCAGCTCTGTGGGTGGCCAAAGAAGGCTTCAGTCTTAGGTGCCTTGGTGGATGTCAGTGGGCTTGTTAAAAAAAAACACCATCAACAGGCACTTAGGGAGGGCCCCCAGCAGTGAGGAGATGCCTCAGGCTGGGGGTGGGGGACCATGGAACTCAAATTACCATAGGTCCAAGGCCTTAACCTGTAGGAGTCAAAGGCACCTGAATCCTAGAATCTCAGATTTGGGAGGGAACACAGACATCATCCAGTCTAGTCACTCACTGGATGCCTGGATCACCTCACCATCTCAGAGATGAGGTCCTTTAGCTTGCATACCTCCAGGAATGAGAAACTCACTTTCTCTTCAGGCAGCTTAGCAGGAATGTGCTGAGGAGCTCCCCATGAGCTAACCTCTGCTTGCCCTTGGGATGCCAAATGGCACAGAGAGGAGAACCGTGGGTCCCTGGACCTCACCCCCACCCCCTACAGATGCCTCCTCAGGAAGCTCTCTGAGCTGGGCCTGCCTCTGGGGCGAGGGAGATGGTTGAATCTAAATGGAAGAGACGAAGCCTGACGTCAGCATGAGGGAGGAGGTCTCATTGGGTAGCCTGGAGTGTGGCTTACCTCATCTCCCACACAGTACTTCCCTGCTTACCTCATCTCCCACACAGTACTTCCCTGCTGTGCTCTGCAGGATCTTCTCCAGAGCTGTGGGAAGACCACATGAATAATCTCACTCTGGGTACAGAAAGGGGACTTCAGCCTTGACTTCCATAGCTATGAAATGGGTGGCTATCTGAGTGACAGGCTGGGCCACTCAGAGGGCATGTGTGCTGAGGGGATGAGGCAGCCAAGCCTGGAAAGAGTTGAGAGGGAGGAGATGATGTCTCCCTGGGCTCCTCAAGCACTCATCATTCCCTTCCCTCAGAGTGGCCAGCAGCAGCTCTCATGCTGATGGAGTTTGCCTGTTGCTGGCCTTGATTTCTTGGGGAGTTGGCAGTAAAGCAGACACTGGGCCATCTGAAGGGCTGTGGGCCTCAGACACTAAGGTTCCCAAAAGCGCCAGAGTTTGAGGCCAGGTCTGAATGCCCACCCAACCCACTGCCTCCTCAGCCCTGCCCTCACCTAAGCCACTGTCTGGACCAAAGTAGCCTGGGAGGATATTTCAGATGACCAGGCCCCTGGGTGTGAGGGGCCACTTCTCTGAGTGGCCACCTCAGAGCAGCTGGCAGGAGTAAGGACTCACCGTTAAAGCCAGAACTGATGACATTCTGGGCCCAGGCCAGCTGGTTCTCCTTACCCACTTGCTTCAGGACAGACAGGTTCTGTGCAGTGCAAGGAAAATCTGTGATTGGCTTGGGGAGCCAGGCTGGGCCAACTGCCTCAGCTGAGCCCATTAAGGGAAGCTTGGTTCCCACCTGCCTGTGGCTGTGCACCTACACCCCTGGACTCCATGAAGCCACCTCCTCCCACCAGAACCCTGAGGTTAGAGGGAAGTGGCAGTCCCAGCAGCCACCTTCTCAGGCTGCCAATGGCCCCTGTAGTCTGTAAGCCTTGGGGAGATATGCAAGGGTGGGGGCACAGAGTGCTGCCATGGCTGGGGCAGCTGTGGCTATAACCTGTAGCCTAGCTCCGTTGCACCCAATGCTTCTCCCTTAGGTGAGCCTTTGTGACGAGAGGGAGTGTGATACAGGGTGGGGCAGGATGAGGTGGCACATAGGACTGGTTTCCAGGAGCTTTGCACCACTGGAGCCATTTCACTTTGAGCTACAGTTCCCTCATCTGAAAAACAGGGCTATCTGTTTGCTCCAGCCTCCTTTGTTAAAAAGAAAAAGTGACGTGGGGGCGGGGTGGGGGGGGGAAGGGAGGGACGCACAGGTACACAGTTGAGGGTCCCAGGCTCCGGTCCCTGCTCTGCCACTAATTAGTTGAATGACTCCACCTCTCTGGGGCTATTTCCTCAGTCATAAATCAGGGGTTAGCACACATGAATTGTTTTAATACGTTCTTCTTTGTTTTACTAGTGAAAACTATTTCCAGACAAAACCTTAGAGAATCCCAATATACGATATGAAACAGCCAGAAAGGAGGCTGCTCTGGGTAAAGGTGGAAGGCCTGGGCCTGAGCCTGCTCAGCCTCTCCCGTCACCCTGGCCCTTTCCCGACCTTGAGTACCTCTAGGCAAGTCCCCGGAAACCTAGCCTTTTCTGGAACGCAGTTTGGGACCCACTGGACTGGATGACTTCTGGGCTCCTTCCTTCTCTCTGCCACGTGGTCTAGGTCCAAGTCCCTGTGAACCCTTCTCTGTCTTCCTGCCACTCCACCCCCAAGCCAGATACCTACTGTGGGCTTGCCATAGTGCAGGAATGTTTGAAGGTCAGCGTGTATAAGGGCATGTGAGTGAGAGGGTGGTAGTGTGAGGGTGTGCGAGGGTACAGGGCTACAAATGCCAGACCTGCAGGGGCTGGATGCCACTAGCAATGAGGTCCGAAATCATGCGAACGCTGGCCCTCTTCTTTGGGTCCTGAGGCAGTAGTCGCGGAGCGGGCCGAGTCTCCTCCAGGTACTCAATGATGGCCAACTGTCCAGAGAGAAGCAGTGAGGCAGGGAGAGGGCCCTGGACCATAGACCAGAGGGGACAGAGCCAGCAAACTCCTCCTCCTCTCCTCCCTCCTCAACTGGAGACCTGTAAAGCCCAGAGGCTCTCCAGTGGGGAGCGCTCTTTCTCGGCTCTTGTTCTATAGAACTTGGATCCCCGCATGCTTAAGTCTCCCCTGACTTCCCAGAACAACCTCACTCTCTCCCTCTCTCCTTTCCTCCCTCGGACAAATACTTATCCAGCCCTTACTATGTGCTAGGCACCTTGGCCACACACAGGCAAGGAAGAGATGTAAGGTCCTCTGGTTCAGGGCACTGCTCTCATGCTCTCATGAGGATCCCTTCCCAAGCCCGCACTCACTGACTGGCCGATGGTGAGTCCATCAATCTTCAGGGCTGGCACCTGCATCATGGGATTCAGTGCCTGGAATTCTTCAGAGAACTGTGGAGACAAGGCCCTGGTTGTCTGAGTGGTCTGGCCTGAGTTGGCTAGAGGAGAACCTGGCAAGCAGGAGGACCCCAGGTCTGCCACACCTCCCTTCCCAGGGGAAGGCCCTGGCTTCTAGGCCCAGGAGCCCTGGGGGGATGCATGTATCCCAGCCCCCAGTGGCTGCTGAGCTACAGGCTTCATCCTAATAGCCTGCTGTGTGCTTTTCCGAGTCTCATAGTGTGGTCACCAAGCTCCTACCCTAGCTGGCCACCCACCCCTCCTGAAGTCAGGCATTGGAGAGGCTGGACTGTGGTGTGGAGCCTGGAACCTGGGCCCTTACCATGGCTCCCCTGGCTGCACAGATCTCTGCCATGTCCCAAAGGGAGCACCAGAGCCTCCCCTGGCTGTGGGAACCACAGCGTGCAGGTTCATCTTTGGGGAAGAAGTCTGCACACCCTGCCTGGTACCTCTGCAAGGTCCCGTTCCCACATCTTGGCCCCAGGGTGGCCTCCTTACCTGCTGCCCCCCATCCTTCACAAGATTGATGGGCACCGTCGCATAGTCAATGCCTTTCAAGACCAGAGCTGGGGGAGATGCAGACAGTAGAGTCAGGGGACAGCCTCTGGCTGCCCTCCCAAGGGAAGAGCCCTTCCCAGGGGGAAATGAGGCTGCGAGGGAGGTTTCTGCACACTGCTGGGTGCTCACGGCCCAGGTTGGCTCTACTCCTTCTCTCCAGCTTTCCTCACACCATCCATTCCCCAACCAGGCCCATGATGCTCTGCTTCTCTCTCCCTGAACTCTTAGTGCCCTCACTCTCTGCACCCTCAACAGGGCCCTCATGTCCCTTGCATGGTGCTACAAAGATGTATGCCTGGCCCCATCAACCTGGCAACTATGGTCACACAGTAGGGGTATGTCCTGTTCATTCCTCCCCTCTCCAACCCCTGCCCTGGGGCTTAAACAGTAACAGTGGTGAGCAGGGCTCGTTTGCAAGAGGCATGCAAGTGCTTCCCCATGAAGGTGTCTAAGGGACAGCTCCCCAAGGGAAGGTGCTGGTCTTGCTCAAGTGACCATACAGCACACACAAGCAGATGACGCTTTTTTTGTTGAGCAAAGAATCCCTCTCCATTCTCTCTGGTAAACTGTGTCCTCCGGGCTGTTGACCATAGATTCTGAGTGGGACATCAGGGCTTTTTGGTGGTCTCAGAGCATTTGTTGGGACTCCCAGTACCTAGATTTCCTCTCTATCCCCTCTGGGAATTTTCCTTGGGAAGGGGAGGTTAGTAAACATGTTTAAGTCAACCCTAGTGGAGAAGACTGTGTGTATGCCTGCAAGCTTGTGTGTTAAAAGGTGATCCTGAACACCCCATTGCCGTGGAGTCGATTCCGACTCATAGTGACCCTGTAGGACAGAGTAGTACTGCCCCAGAGGGTTTCTAAGGAGTGGCTGGTAGATTTGAACTGCCGACCTTTTGGTTAGCAGCCCAGCTCTTAACCCCTATGCCACTAGGGCTCCTAAAAGGTGATACCAGTCTCAAGGTCAAGGGCAGAGGGGAGGAGGACAAGAGGAAACCTAGCCTGAAAAGAGCCTGGAAAGTTCCAGCTCCTCCTCAGCGCTTGGCAGCTCCACTCTGGAGGTGGAATGGGGTTGGGGAAGATGGAAGAGGCCAGTGCACACAGGCCCTACAGAGTCAGTGCTAGCACTGCTCAGCTTCCAGCCCAGCCAGGGAGAGGGGAGATCTCCCTGGAGAAGAGTTTTCTCTGCACCTCAGTGCCTTGCCTTACTGACTTCAGCAAATACCAGATGACTAAGGGGTGGGAAGAGGGGTCATGGAAGATGCCTTAGCCGTTAGGGACAGGCTCTAGAGCCAGGCTGCCTGGGTTCAAATTTCATCAAATTCATTTGCTAACTGTATGGCCTTTGGCACGTAACTTAAAGAACCTCTGTGCCTCAGTTTCCTCATGTGACAGGCAGCATAGTGTAAGAACATGGACTCTGGGGTCATACTACCTCGGTTCAAATTCCAGCTCTGCCTCTTACTGCATGATCTTGGGCAAGTGACTTAATTCCTCTGTACCCCAGTTTCCTCATGCGTACCTCCCTCTCAGGACTGTTGAGGTTGAAATGGAATCATGCACACAGAAGCTCTCAGCACAGAGAGCTCCCTCATTGTGATCTGTTATGATGACGACCTTTGCCAAGTGGGTTAAGCTGAGGGAAGGGAATAAACCAGATGGCTCTAGTTTCTGATTTCCTGAAGCCTCTCGGGTGTCGCACAGACCAGTTCTGTTTAACTTGTCAGACCAAATAAGATAAGAACTGAGGGAGACCAGCTGTTCCCCTGCCAGTTACCAGGGGCTGCTGGATTTTGTAAGCCTGCTTTAAACATGGTTGCTAAAAGTCTTCGGAGAGCAGTGTGGGGAGATACCAGTCCCCAGAAAAAAAAAAAACTCCTTCCCTCCCAACCCCACTCATCTTGTTGGACTTCTGGGTAGAGGTGCCATTCAGGGGTGGGGCATCCAGGAGACTGAGGATGCCGGTTGCTGGGGGAAAGCCTTCCTGACAGAGCACCGTCTTGGCCCAGGCCAGCTCTGCACCCAAGGCTCCTTCCACCCCACCCCACCCCACCCAGGTGCTCAGCTTGGTGGAGGCACAGCTCTTACCAATTCGAACTCTCCATGAGCAGGAGCTTCGGAAATAGGAGTAGAGGATAGGCTGAGGAACGAGAGGACAAGGGTGCGCATTAACCCATGATCAGTGGGTTCCCGGCCCCAGGACCCCACCAAGGTACTCCCAGCCTGCACTGTTTTCTCCCACCCTGTCAGGCCTCCTTCCTCAGAGCTGCATGTGAGCAGCTCTGGGTCAGCAACCCCAGAAGTCACATGGAGTCCCTTGACTCCAAACTGTGCTGGCATGTGTTCCTGAGGTTGGAGAGGCCCCCAAAGGGGCAGCCAGCCTGAAAGTGCCTTCCTTACCTTGCTGGACTCAGCCATTGTGCCACAGTGACCCTCAGGCTCCCAGAAAATGTCTCACAGAACTGTGGGGCAGGGGGAGGAACTCTAAAGGGGTGGATCCCATGAGCCAATGGGGAAGCTGGCCTAGATAGGTGCCTGGGGAACTTTGACTCTGGTCAGAAAGGGGATCTCTTCCAATCTTTGGCAAGTTGCTCATGCAGATAACATCCAACTTCCTAGTGGAGCCAGGTTTGATGTCCCATGCAGACAGGGTGGCCTAGTTTTAAGGCAGTAGTTTGTGTGCTTCAGTGGGCTGGGAGCTGGCATACCTGGGCTCTGTCCTGGTGCAGGAACCAGTTTTGCATGACCTTGGATAAATCCCTTCCTTTTTCTAGTCTTCGGCTCCCGTGTCTGCAAAATGAGGGGTTGCCCTAAAGTGATAGCTTAGATTCCTTCCAGCAGTGGCAAAAAGATCAGGGATTCTAATTCTTTTTTGCTTTGGTGACCATCTCCTTCAAGCCCCCCACCCACCTGTCTTCTAGGCTCTCGGCCTCCTAAAAATGGCTGGTGAATATGCCCATTCACGCCAAAGCTGAGGTGGCAAGTTACCAGCCCATGGTGGTCTTATCTGGCCCTCACAAGTGTTTAAAAATGTTTCAATTAGTTGCCAACATTTAAAAATCAGGATGTCTCATATACAAATCCTGTTGCTTTTTCTTTAAAAATCTGGACACAGTGGACTCAGGTTCCTGAGTAGCAACAATTAATTAGAGCCGATTAATGGCATGGCCTCTTTGATCTGCCGTGGTCCCTACGTAGCCCATTTTCTTCTGGGCCCCTGGTGGCAGTTGAATTTCAAGGGACTTAAAAGTTAATTTCCCTAGTGGTTCTTGGGTAACTAGCTGCAGCATGATAGATCGCTTTTATATGGCCTTTCTAGCCATGGTCTTGTAACTTCCATCAAATGACTGGATGGGACTATGCAAATAAGGTGCTTGTGGCCCACCAAGGGAATTGGACAGCTTGCCAATAATGTAAATAAAGTGCATGGCACCCTTGTAGGGGTGGAAACATGCAAATAAAGTATATGGAACCCTAATAAGAGGATTGGTCAATCTTGCCATTCTGCTATGCTTAAAATGAGCCATTGGAGACAGAAAGAGGGCCCTCACTACCACCAAGAAGAAAAGATCAAAACTGAGCACATCCTTTGGACCCATGGTCCCTGCACTGAGAACCTCCTAGACCCAAGAGACAGAGAGAGAAAGCTGTAACACTGGAGATGGCACAAGGGGATGAGAAGCAGCGGCAGAGAAATAGTGGCAGCAGAACTAGGATACTGGCGAGAGATGGTGTGGTGGGCTTCCCAACCCACAGAGCAAGGCGACTACAGTGGGTGTGCCGACCCATGGGGCAAGAGAGCTGAGCACCTTCAGGCTGAGACTTACTGGCGGAGTGGGGTGCCCCTGAGCACTTACTGGCAGAGCTAAAGAGTTTTGTAACACTTTGCCTGAGCAGGGCAGAGGCTGGGCCAGCCCAAGAGGCTCAAGGGGCCCCGAGCCAGGGAGAGGCCTGTCTGCAGGCACGGCTGCGAAGAAGCTGTCCTGACCAAGAACTGCATCCTGAGTCATTTCTGATCCTGAACTGTAACCTGTTACTTCCCTAATAAAACTCATAATCGTGAGTACTGTCCATCAGTTCTCTGTGTGGCTGTTGCAATGAATTATTCAACCCAGCAGTGAAGTAGAGAGTGCCATGGGAGGGACGGCTCTTGTCAGAATTGGTAAAAAGGTTAGAAGGTGGAGATATGCTTGACCTCCACCTCATAGGAATCAGCCTTGGGCTGATGCTGATAATGATTGCCCTTGTGAAGTTAGATGAGGAGGTCTGGTGCTGCCGCCAAGCCATTTTTACAATTGCTGCCATTTTTTTACACCAGCACTTCAAAGCAGGACCCAGGACAGTCACTAGTGATTGTTGTTGTTGTTGGGTGCAGTAGGGTCAATTCTGACTCGTAGCAACCCCATGTGACAGAGTAGAATAGCCCCATAGGGTTTTCTTAGCTGTAATCTCTACAGAAGCAAACTGCTAGGTTTTTCTTCCATGGACATGCTGGTGGATTCAAACCACCAGCCTTTTGGTTAGCAGCAGAGCTCTTAACTGTTGCACTACCAGGGCTCCTTCACCAGTGATTAGCACTCCTGAGTCTTCAGGTAGACACACAAATGTCCATATGGATGGAAGAGAAACTCAACAGAATTTCTCAGATCACCTCTGTCTACCACCCTTCTGACTACAGACATTTCACTGGAGTTCTCTCTCCCCTCTGACACCCTGGCACACCAACCTGCTTTCACCATCCCTGCACACCAACTCCAACTCAGGGTTCCAGGCAGGTTAAGGGCACAAGCGAGAACCCAGACCTTCCCAAGATGATTCCTGAGCCTGGGAGTCCAGCCTGTTCTGAAGGCATCTTTTGTGAGTAAAGTGAAGACGGTCCTGGCACGCAGGACAGTTGATAGGTAGTAGGTGTCCCTAGAGGAGGAGGAGTTGAGTGACCATAACTGGATGTTCCCTAGCTGGAGATGCAGCCCCTTTCCTACCTGGCCAGGCTCGGGGGGGCCCCTGGGCCAAGAGGTAGAGACTGTTGGTGAGGAATAGACCACTAGAGAGCAGCAGATATTAGCTTACCTCGCTGGACAAATGCTTTTACATTGTGCTTACTGTTACACCTTTGACCTATTTTGAGGGTGACCATAGAGTCATGGTAAATGCCCCCATTATGTGTCTTGCTGGCTCATAAGCAGGAAACATGAAATCTCTTAGACATTTAATTTCTGCTTTGTCATGGATTGAATTATGTCCCCCCAAAAATGTGTGTATCAATTTGGCTGGGCCAAGATTCCTGGTATTGTGTGATTTTCCTGTATGTTGTAAATCCTGCCTCTATGATGTTAATGAGGGAGGATGGGCGGCAGTTGTGTTAGTGAGGCAGGACTCAATCTACAAGATTGGATTGTGTCTTGAGGCAATCTCTCGAGATATAAAAGAGAGAAGCGAGCAGAGAGACAGGGGGACCTCATACCGCCAAGAAAGCAGTTCCGTGAACAGAGTGTGTCCTTTGGACCCGAGGTCCCTGCGCAGAGAAGCTGCTAGTCTAGGGGAAGATTGATGAGAAGGCAGACAGAGAGAGAAAGCCTTCCCTTGGAGCTGATGCCCTGAATTTGGACTTTTAGCCTACTTTACTGTGAAGAAATAAATTTCTCTCATTAAAGCCATCTATTTGTGGTATTTCTGTTAAAGCAGCACTAAATAAATAAGACATGCTCTCTGACAAGCGGCAAGTATATAAACCATCATGTGTTCCTTTTTTGCATTTGCACAGCTAAATTTTAAGCTCAAGTAAAATATCCATCTCATCACCACTCCTGTAACAATTTTGTTTCCAGTCCAATTCTGGATTCTGATTACTCTTCCAGATTTTATTTTTAAACTGTCTCTTACATATGATTTTTGAGAAAGACTCCTAAAATCCCACTTGGAAATGGGAGGGCTATACAGTATTAAAAAAACCAAACCAAACCCGTTGCTGTCAAGTAGATTCCGACTTATAGTGACCCTATGTACAGTATGAAAGTGAAGCTATATTCCATCCTCCCAGGTACAAAAGCAGTCCTCAAATTTTTGCGCGAATAAGAATCATCTGGAAACCCTGGTGACATAGTGGTTAAGAGCTACGGTTGCTAACCAAAAAGGTCGGCAGTTCCAATCCACCAGGCGCTCCTTGGAAACTCTATGGGGCAGTTCTACCCTGTCCTATAGGGTCGCTATGAGTCTGAATCGACTCAACGGCAATGGTTTGTTTTTTTTAAAAAGAATCATCCGGGGCGCTTATTTAACATGTAGATTCCCGAGCTCTTTCCTCTAAGTAGCTCGGAGGAGGGCCCCGAGACGGCACATGCACGTTACAACCCAGAAGTTCCCCCAAGTGATTGTAATGTGTCACAGCCTTCCCTCGCCCCTGGTGCTCTCTTAAAATGCAAGCATCCCGGGAAGGCCATCCTTTCGTAGGACCTGTCGGGCTACCGGCAGAGAGAGGAGCACGCAGGGCTGTGCGGAAGAGGCGAGGGGCAACATCTGGAAGTGCTGGTAAAGGTAGGGGAAAATAGACGGTACAATGACACAAGTCCGCCCCGCACGCTCTCCCCGAGCTCGACCCCTCGGTCAGACCCCGCTTGCGCCACAGCACCCAGCAGGCAGCGCGCAAACGCAGAACCTGACCCGCGCAGCGCACTGCATGCTGGGAGTCGTTGTCGGAGCTCTGGGAAGGAGGAGCTGCTCACCTTTGACCCCGCCCCCCAGCAGTTCCCCCAGTGTCTAACTAGCGCCCCCTCCCTAGATGCGTGGCACAGACCTTCCCAGCTTGCATCTCGCACTTCTAGAGACCCCTCTTCCAGGGCTAGAAACTTCGCTCCTGGAAGTCGCCGACTAGTCGCTGAGTAAGGCCCACTGAAGAACCTTGGCTTTCTTCTTGGCGAAGCGAGGAGTTGAACTAGAATGATAACTCTTTCTTCTAGTTCGTTGGGACTTCCCGCCACGCCCCCATTCCCGGTACTGTTGGGAAGTGCAGTTCCTTGAGCCCGTCTTCTCTCCTGCCCTGTCTTCCCTGGTCCTACCAGTCCCGTCATGCTGTGCGCCACTAGCCGCCTCTTAGCAGCCGGAGCGGAGACCACGCTTCCCGCCCAGCCCAGAGCCCGGGGCTCAGCGCTCCGCTGCCGGAGGAGAGAACTACATTTCCCGGGTCACCCCGCGCTGCCCTTTTGTGACTTCTTGGCGGGGCGGCTGACAAGACCAATCCTGCCAACGGGCCGGAGGGTTATCCTGAGGAGGGGAAGGATGCCGCCCGTAATGGGCAGAAGCCTGGCAGGGTCCGAGCTGCGCGCCCGGCGGGGTCGCTGTGGGCCCCAGGCTGTCTGGGCCGTGGGCCCAGACGTGGCCGCTGAGGATGCAGCGCGAAGCCCCAAACGGCCTGCTCAGGGCTCGCGGCCCTTCGAGACAGCCGGCGAGTGGGGCTTGCTGGCCGTGGTGACGCTGCTGTCCTTCGCCACCCGCTTCCACCGTCTGGACGAGCCACCGCACATCTGGTGAATGACGGGCGGGACTGGCAGGCACCATGGCAACCGGGAGGGAAGGACGCCGCCCTCTGATTGGCCTCAGACACGGAGGGGGCGGGGCGGGATTGACAGAAGTTGGGGCGGGGGCTGCGGTGGAGGGGAAACTGAGGATTTTTAACGGTTGCCTTTCACGAGGACTCGTTTTGCTCTGGTGGGTGGCAGTGGCATTCTTAGGATCTGGGGGAAGCAGTCAGTCCTCATGTCTTCCAGGTCATGCTGAAGTGTCTCACCTGGCACTCAGATTGCGGTTTTCAAAAAAGCTGCTTTGAACTTTCCAAGATTTGGAAATCCTTAGTACAGAATTTCCCAAGCCTGAGTTCTTAATCCTCAGGATTTTCAGGCATCAGCAGAGGGGGATATTCCTAACCGAGTGCCTTCATTTTCGGGAGGAGAGATGGTTTGACTGTCCAGCGAAGGTGACAAGGGTTCCAGAAGGCAGGTCTGTGTTTGCCTGTGAAAATTTATATCAGTCAGATTGAAGCAAGGTTCTGCCTGCATATGTGTTTGTACACACATGAGAGAGTGGGGAGTCTATGTTTGAGAGTTGCTATTGGTAACCTCTGGCACATCAGAATAGTTCAAGACCAGCCATGTCCACGTGAGTTTTTCTGTTTTCATAGCATGATGACAAATTCAGCAGCAAGTCAGATTGCCAGCTACAGCTGCCACTTGACATAGGACCGTATGATTGTTTTGGCTAGGCTGTGGTGCTGGGCTTAGGAGCCAAAGAGAGCACTGATTGTTTTCCTTCTCCTTGTACCTCTACGGTTCTAAGGTGTTCCCTCCCCAGGTGCTGGATTTGCTGCTCTCCTTTTACTGCCAAATAATCAGTGTGTCCACCCTACTGTCTATAACTTCACCTTTTTTCCAATCACTCCCTGTTAATACCCAGATCTTTTTGTCTGGAGGAGTCAGGTATGAGAGGGACAAGGGCATTTTTAGAAAATTGAAGAGACCTATTATGTCTCCTACCTTGGCCCATGTAGACCACCGTAGGGGGGCCTATAAGCAGTGTCCTCAACTAAGTTATTATTTTTATGCTCTAGGGCCATGTCGGTCCAACAAATACAATACAGGTGACGGAACTAGAAATACGTTGAAATCTTGTTGATCACCTCCTTCCCCCGCTCAGGCTGATCTGGGGTTTCACACCCAGGAATGATCAGGGAAGAATCTCAAAATTTCAAAATATGTTTATCTAACTCCCCACTCCTTTCATCCTGATTAGTACCCAGTTGGTAGTCAAGAGATGAACCTTTTCTGGGGATGACTGCATTAGGTGACCAACCTGCTTTACTAAGGTGTCTGGGCCAGGAGGAGGTGGAGAGGTAGAAGTAGACTCAGATCTTTTTGAGTTGATTTTTGAGGAGCCATTTCAGTGCTTGACAATATCAGACACCATCTTCAGTGTGGTTCAATGGTAGAATTCTCACTTTCTATGCTGTAGACCTGGGTTCAATTCCCAGCTGACACACTTCTTGCATAGCCACCACCCTTCTGTCGCTGGATGCTTGCATGCTGCTATGATGCTGAACAGGTTTCAGTGGAGCTTCCAAACTAAGGGAAACTAGGAAGAAAGGCCTGGCAATTTACTTCCACAAATCAGACAATGAAAACCGTATGAATCACAATGGTCTGTTCCACAGCTGATCACCGGGATGGTGCAGGACTGGGCATTGTTTTGTTCTGTTGTGCACAGGGTCATCATGCATTGAAGGCTGATTCAAAGGCAGCTGACAACAGCAAAAACCATCATTGACCCAAGCACAGGCATTTAGAGGAAGCTCTGTCAGTCGAGGCCCCATTGAGCCAGTGGTTTTGCTTTAGGTGTTGGAGTAGAAGATGGAGCTGCCACTTTTTCTTGTAAAACCAAGATACTTCTAGGGCGAGGATGGTTACACTCTTGAATATAACATTTCCACTTGATGAACATAACCCTGAGAGGCTTGCTGATCCCTTCCCTTGTTAGCCATAGAGTCTAATTTGACCATCTCCAAAGTGGGAATATTAGTCTAGTGTGTCCTAAGGCCTTCTTGGGTCAGGTGCTCAATTTCAACAAAAACTTAGTAGTCGGGTAATTTTACCCATTGCCATTGAGTTGATTCCGACTCATAGCAACTCCATAGGACAGAGCAGAACTACCACATAGGGTTTCCAAGGCTGTAATCTTTAAGGAAGCAGACTGCCAATCTTTCTTCCGTGGAGTGGCTGGTGGGTTTGAAATGCTGACCTTTTGGTTAGCAGCTGAGCACTTAACCACTGTGCCACCAGGGCTCCTTAGTAGGGTAGTAAACCCGTTGCCACTGAGTCGATTCTGACTCATAGCTACCCTGTATGACAGAGTAGAACTGCCCCCATAGGGTTTCCAAGGCTGTGATCTTTATGGACTCAGACTGCCATGTCTTTCTCCTGCGGAGCAGCTGGTAGGCTCACACCGATCTTTCAGTTAGCAGCCGAGCACTTTAACCACTGTGCCACCAGGGCTCCATAGTAGGGTAATAGCTGCCTTTTTAAAAACAGTGTACTTGGTTCCTGTGTCAAGCAGATGATGATGTTATCCTGAGGAATGGCCTCTCAGTACCCCAGCAGCCTTTAAGTCTTTAAAGCCTGTGATTTCCCTTTCTCTTCTGGGGTTTTTATATTGTTTTTCTGGACCACCCAGGAGGGACAGGAGTTACATCTCTACATGCAGCAGTCCCTGAACGGAATAATCCTCTCTGACACTTACAGGATCGGTATGAATTATACATTCAGCAGAGAAGCCGCAACAATAAGTCACTGAAGTGGCCCCCAGGACTCTACCCATAAAATCACTTTAGCTTCCCTTCCCCAATGGGAATTTGGCTGAAACCCTGTTGGTTGAATTTGGGTGCTCCCCCCCTCACCCCGCCCATGGGGACTTGAACCATAAAGTCTAGTAGGCGTGCCACAGGAGAGGCTCTTTTTCTCCTTCACCCGCTTGCTAGCCTTCACCCGCTTGCTAGGCTTGGCACCACTTCCTCCCCAGTGTATGTCCTGGTGTCTGATGAGTGCCATGGGCTCAGGACCCTTATCTTTCTGCCCCTGCACACACTGCTGTGGCTTGCCCTGCTGTCCTTAGCACCTTAGATCACCCCTGCACCTAGCAAATTCTACTCCCACAGGACTGGTAGGGTAGAGATGTGGGCACCTGTATGCAACAGAGCCATAAGAGTTTGGGTCCTTCATCTCTCATTCCTCAGCATACTAGGATGGGCATGTATGTCCCCTTTGGGGACAGGGAGACCTTGGTCCCACCTTTAATCATCTTACTCTTTAAAGCAGCTGGGGTTGTGGTAGGGGGAGGGGTCATGGGACACGGAGGGAGAGAATGGCTCTACGCCAAAAAGCAAAACCAAACCAAACCAAACCAAACCGGTTGCCATCTAGTTGATTCCAACTCACAGCAACCCTATAGGACAGAGTAGATCTGCTCCATAGGGTCTCCAAGGAGCGGCTGGTGGATTTGAACTGCCGACCTTTTGGTTAACAGCCAAGCTCTTAACCACTGTGTCACCAGGGCTCCACCAGAAAGCAAAGCACATTTTGTTGTTTTTGAGAATATACACAGCAAAACATACACCAATTCAACAGTTTCTACATGTTCAATTTAGTGACATTGATTACATTCTTCGAGTTGTGCAACCATTCTCACCCTCATTTTCTGAGTTGTTCTTCCCCATTAACATAAACTCACTGCCCTCTAGGATTCTATCTAATCTTTCAAGTTGAAAGCAGAGCACTTTTGACTTGAGCCATGTGGGCAGCCTTTCGGTGTTTTCATTTTACCCAAAGTTCTGTATTGAATAGCAAGGTCCTTATTGCTGACACCACATATTTAAGCTTCGGAGACTCCTTGATTCAGCAGCAATGTTACCTTTTGGCTGGGGCTGCCAGGCTTGCTGCCTCATTGTCACACTTACATCCCTTCCTCCTTCCACCCAGAGGAGAGTGAGCAGTAACTAAGGCAGCATACAGATGGCTTGCTTCAATCCTACCTCTCTCTGCTCAGCCTCATTAATAGGTAGTGCAGTAGGAGTCTCCACAGTCCCTTTCCCCCCAACATGGTCAAGAGCATTTGCTACTGAATTCCGGGGAATCTTGTCATATACCCTAACCCAGCCCATTGGGACGCTTGTGTTTTCTCGTACAGAAAGCTATGTCTCTCAGCATCCCAAAACTGTCAGGATCTGGGATTTTATTTCACCCTACTGGCAATCTAGTAAGTTAGCCTGTT